CCCACCCCAAACTCAAACACACACACACACACACACACACACACACACACACACACACACACACACATTCGCATGCACACACACACGCACGCCCAGGTACCCTGCCGTCTGGGAGATGTACAAGCAGGCGCTGGCCAGCTTCTGGACTGTGGACGAGGTGGACCTCAGCCATGACGCCAGGGACTGGGCGCGGCTTAGTGCCGCGGAGCAGAGGTTTGTCAAGACCGTCCTCGCGTTCTTCGCGGCCTCAGACGGCATCGTGCTGGAGAACCTCGCGGCAAACTTCATGACGGGTGCGGCGGCCGCGGCAAGGGGGCTGGCATTGGAGGGCGGGCAGGATGGGGAATGGAGGAAGCGCTGCAGGAAGGGTCAAGGACCGGCAGTTGCAGCGTGGCGGCTGAGCTGTCAACCAACTTTGTGGGCTTGGGGTCTGGGCAAGCCTGGCAGCCTACTGTTTGGTGTATATTGGCACCCACGAGCACCGCTCCCCCCAAATCCCCCTCAACCCCCCCGCCAACCGCCCAACCCAGAGATCCAGTCCCCCGAGGCGCGCGCGTTCTACGGCTTCCAGATTGCCATTGAGAACATACACAGCGGTAAGCCCGAAAGGCAGCCGGCCATCACGTTGATCGATGCGCCTTGTTTCTGCAGCACGCTGCTGGAACAAGCTGCCACAACATGACATGAACACCTGGGCTGGGTGCCCTGCTGAGGCTGCTCTGGTGTGACACTGCGGCCATAACCGCCAACCCAACCTTCGCTGACACCCCGCATCCCCCACCCCACCCCACCCTCGCCCTGTGCCCACCCCAGAGATGTACAGCCTGCTGCTGCAGTCGTACGTCAGGGACCCCACAGAGCGCGCCTCCCTGCTGCGCGCCATACACACGGTCCCTGTCATCGGCCGCAAAGCCGCCTGGGCGCTGCGCTGGGGCGGCAGCGGGGCGCCCTTTGCGCAGCGGCTGCTGGCGTTTGCGTGCGTCGAGGGCATCCACTTCAGCGGCAGCTTCTGCGCCATATTTTGGATCAAGAAGCGTGGCCTCATGCCAGGGCTCACGTTCAGCAACGAGCTCATCAGCCGGGACGAGGGGCTGCACACAGACTTTGCCTGCCTCCTGTACAGGTGGGCACCGTCTGCGGCGGCAGCGCGTGAGGCATGCTGTGATGCAGCGCAGCAGCCCGCGCGAGTGGGGCGTACCGCTGCGTCTTAACGCAGACGTTGTGTTTCTCGCCCCAAGTCTGCGATTCTCGCAGCTGCTGCAAGCATCAATTCAGCGCCCTCTGCTTCATAGTGGACCCGTGATCCTCACCTGCTCCCACTCCCACAGCCCCACCCTGCACCCCCTGAGCCATCCTAACACCCGCTCACCCCCCACCAACCCCCCGCTCATCCCCCCTCGACCCCCTCAACAGCCAGCTGCAGCACCCCCTGGACGAGGCCACGGCCCACGCCATAGTGCGCGAGGCCGTGGAGCTGGAGGAGGCCTTTGTGGCGGAGGCGCTGCGCGTGGACCTCATAGGCATGAACCTGCGGCTCATGGGGCAGTACGTGGAGTTCGTGGCGGACAGGTGGGCGTGCGTGCGTGCTTTCGTTTCATTGCGTGCATGTCTGGGTGGGTGGGTGTGTTACGCATGAGGTTGGTGGATGGGTGGGTGAGTGCGTGCGCGCGCGAGAGAGAGTGTGTGTGCATGTGAGAAGGAAGGTGGGGGGTGTTGTGTGTGCATGCGCCCTTGGTTGTGCGTGTGTGGTGGTGCAGCAGCACTTGGGGCAACGCGGTGCTGCATCGCATTGCCGCACCGTACCCAACCTTGTGCCCATTTCATGTCAAAGGCGTGGGGCCCGGAGAGTATCTCAAGACCACGGGTGCCCACGTTGATCGTGTAGTTTCTGCACAAAAACTGTGCGTGGATGTTGTGGCCTTATGTTGAGTGCAGTGTTGGGCTCGCAGCAGGTGCCTGTCAGCTTCTCACATTCGTACACGCCCCCCCGCCCCCCCCCCGCAGGCTGCTGGTGGCCCTGGGCTACTCCAAGCTGTATGGCGCGCTCAACCCCTTTGACTGGATGGAGATGATCAGCCTGCAGGGCAAGGTGGGGGCCATGGCTGGGGCTGATGTGGCACGATTGGCGTGATGCTGAATGGGGTTTGCTTGGTTGTATGTATTGTTGTCGTGTGTATTTGATGATGTGAGGGTTTGGGGTGAGCGCTCAGCGGCGAGTGCTTGACAAGAGCAGCTTGAGAGGGGGGAGGGGCAGGGACAGAGTTGGCGCAGCGCCTCTAGGAAGGGAGCGCAGCACGGTGAGCGGGGTTGCGCCGATGAGCCGAGGAGGCCGCACGCGATGTCAACGAGCAGCATCCCCGGCTCACGATGCGTCGCCCCTGTCCTTTGCCCCAACCCCTTGACCCCGCACAAGGCCAACTTCTTTGAGCGCCGGGTTGGGGACTACCAGAAGGCGGGTGTCATGGCGTCAGCGCGCGCGGTCTGCGCAAAGGCAGTTGCACGTGCGGCAGGTGGCGACGACGCCGACCAAGCAGGGGTTAACTTGATAGGCTGCGGCTTTAAAGACTTTGTGTTCACAACCGAGGAGGACTTTTAGGGATCCAGACTACACCACTGCAATCAAGTTGATGCGGCTCCATGTCTCTCATGGGCTGCCGCAGGCGCCATTGCTCCCCGCCCTACTGGGGTCTGGCACCCATTTTTCATGTCGGGCCCAGATATACTCTGGGTGTGCGGTGGTGTCGCTTCGTTTCTGGGCACGGCGCCCCAGCAATTTTGCTCAGCAGATGCAGGTTGCGATGTACGCAGCACCAGTGGTTTCCTCGGGCTACCGCCAGCAGGTTGCAGCAAACCAGGCCCTGGGGCGGCCTCTGGGCTCCCATTCATGCTGATCAACAGTTGAGCAGGCTGCCGTTGTCACGCCCACTTACCCAGCTCAGAATATCATTAATTTAAATTATTGCTGAGTGCATCACATACGAATGCAGTCAGGTTTGGGCCACAACTACAAGCTCCAAAAGCCACATGTAACAGTTTCCAGTCGCTCCGAGCTTACGTGTCAGCACGCGGGCGGCGCCGCCTCCATGGACGGCATATCAAGTGCCACAAAGTGCCCCTGCTTGAACAGCGCCTTCCACGCCCATCCACCTAGGGGCAGCGGGTCGAAAACCTCAACATAGGGTAGGCACTTCAGCCCAACATGGCTGAACCCACACGGCCACTGTTGGCCCCCACTCCAGTTTGCTGTTGGCACCGATTGGGCCTGCCTTTGAATAACATCGGCAGCTTGTTGCAAGCGGGCCAAAGGTGGTCAGCCCATGGGAATCCAAAGCCGCGGGCTAGTTGGACCCAACATGCGATGTGATGCCAGCCTGCCGCGGCATCCATGGCACCGCATCTGCGGTGAATATCTCTGAAGGTGGCGCACAGGGGCGGAGGCGGCCGTCTGATGCATGCAGTGTTGAGGGATAGAGGCTGGCGTCACGCAATCAGCCTCTCCAGGATCTTCATGGCATGGCACCCACCCTCGCCACTGTCGCTGCCCAGCCAGGCACCACACACACGCACCATACACACGCACCATACGTTGGGACCATGGCAGCCACATCATCTGCTGTGCCCACGTAGATGGCAACGGTATCCTCCCCATCACCATCCCATGCGATGGGGGAGCCGCATCTCGGGCAGAAGAGCCGCCGCGCCGAAGCTGACGAGGCATGCGCGGCTGTTGGCCCGTCCAGGGTCAGCGATGCGCGCACGAAGCTGGCAAAGGCTGGGGCGGGGGCGCCGGAGTGTCGGCGACACATGCCACAGTGGCACCAGCCGATGCGCTTGGGTGGGGCATTGGCACGCCAGCGCACAGCACCGCAAAGGCAGCGCCCGGTGAGGACGTCAGCACGAGCACCTGGCGGGGCTTCTGTCATGGGTGCGGCAGGGCTGTGGGGCTTGTTGGTTGGTGTAATACCGTACCGGTGTATTAGCACGCAAAACAGCACAGAACGGAAAGCAAAAAAACTGGTACGTGTTGCTAATCACTCTGATTGATCACAGACCGAGAAGATCTGGTGTCATCGAGCAAGCTGTATACCTGTATATGTCTTTGCACTCCACGACGCAAGCGTGACGGGAATACAAGCAGAATACAAAGCAGCCATGGACCCACAGTGGCTGACGCGGCTGGCTGTCGGCGCAGCTGTCGCCGGGCTCATGGCTCTGCGCGGCCTTCGCAAGCGGTCTCTCTCGCCCTCAGGAGCAGCCGCGGCTTTTTTGGTCGGACTAGTGACCATGCAGGCGTCATATACCAGCGGGCTGCTGCTGATCCTGTTCTACCTGACATCATCCAAGGTGAAAGCACGAGCAGGCACACCGCAGCTGCTTTGAAGGCCACCTGCCGTGAGGCGTGTTGGCCCGTTGCAGGTGCACGCTTCCACTTGCAAGGCACGAATGTGTCCACACCCACTGCACTGTGTGGTGCCCCGCAGCTGACCAAGCTGCAGCAGGACCGCAAGCAGCAGCTTGAGGAGTCCTTCAAGGTGGACGGCCAGCGCTCCGCGACACAGGTGAGCCCCAACTCCCTGCATGGCGGTCCAGGTCCCGCCCTCCCTGAACATTGTGCAGTCCGAGTGCAAATTTATCAATGACCAAGCGCTTGCAACACAAGGGCAACATGCCTGTGAGCCTTAGCAACCTGACAGGCTCCAGCAGCAGCTGGTTCGCCCTGATGAGTTGCGGCATGCTGCAACCCTGTGGTCCCAGCACTCAGCCCTTGAGAAATATGCCGTGGCGTCTATTGGCAGGTGCTCTCCAACAGCCTCGGCGGCGTCGTCGCGGCTGTGACCACCCAGTGCGCGCCGCTGGTGGTCGCTGACCCGCAGCAGGCGGCAGCAGTGCAGTGGGCGGCCACTGCGGCCTTTCTGGTGGGCCAGCAGCTGGTGCACCCGGCATAGCATGGGGCGAAACCAGCTGCTTGCAATGCGCATATGCTATGCGGCTTTGATGTTCTCGATCTGGCGTCGGCGTTTGATGGGTCAGCCGACATGCGCCCGCCAGCCCTGATTAACAAGTCGTGCCGGCATTTGTCCATACCAACCACGCGCTCCATGCAACCAACGCGGTGCTGTGCCAACCCTGCCCGGGACGCCCTGCAACCACAGGGCCACTACGCCGCTGTCTGCGCCGACACCTGGGCATCAGAGGTCGGAATCCTCTCCACCCGCCCGCCGCGCCTCGTCACCACCTGGCGCGTCGTGCCGCCGGGCACCAACGGCGCGGTCTCCGCGCTCGGCTGCGCGTGCAGCGCTGCCGCAGGGGTGTTCATGGGGGCGGCGTACTGGGCGCTGGGCACGGCCCTTGGGGACACTGTGCTGGCGCCACCCCAAGGGCTCGGCGAGCTGAGAGCCTCGCTGCTGGCCGCCGCGGCGAGCGGTGGGGCCGGGCACGGGCAGCAGCAGCGGCTGCAGCAGCAGCACTTGCCGGACAGCGCCGCGGTGGCGGCGCTCTGGGCGGCGGCTGGTTTGGTTGCTGGCCTTGCGGGGTCCCTCGTGGATTCCCTGCTGGGGGCGACTGTGCAGTTCTCAGGTCTGGACGAGCGGTCGCGCAAGGTGGTGGGGCGGCCGGGGCCCGGCGTGAAGCGCGTGAGCGGGCGGCCGTGGCTGAGCAACGACGCCGTCAACACGGTCGCTGCCGCGGCGACGAGCGCGGGGGCCGCGGGGTTAGCGTGGTGGGCGGCGGGAGGGGGAGCAGGTGCAAGATGACGAAGATGTGCGCTAAGCAGTGTCAGGACTGCAGAGAAGGCATCAACGAACGCTCGCTGGCATTGCTGTCATAACCCCCCTCCTTGATGAATTTGAAACCAAATTACAACAAGTGGTGATGTAATTACATGTTGGTTCGTTGATCATATTTCAACGGGCTTGATTGGGCGCTGGTGCTTCCCCCTATCCATCTGTCAAAGTACGTCGCAAATTTAACGGTCCTGCACCTGAAAAGAAGCAGCACTCCATCATAACAAGCATGTTAGCAGCAGTGCCCACAGATAAAAACGCAAGTTTGAGCACAACTTGTTCCAGGTCAGCCATCACGCCCACCCGCGAGCATGCGCGACGCCGCCACGAGAGCCGCACGCAGGCGGTCCAAGACCCTGTCGCAGCCGTCGTCGCTGAACGCCGTGAAAGACCCCCCGGCCGCACCCAGGGCCCCCTGCAGCTCCACCAGCCGGTCGTCCAGCTGCACCGCAGCAGCCTCCACCTGAACATTTCGGCGGTTGCGTTCAGCGGTTGCCCACAACAGATGGTTGGGAAGCGCGTGCATCGTGGTAAACCTGCGTGGTTCCTCCGAATGGTGGACACCATGAAGGGGCGGATATTGCTGTAGCAGCAGCTGCGCCGGCGGTAGCAGCATCCTTTGCCCCCTTCCAGAGTGCACAACAGGCCTCTGCTCATGCGCCGCTCACCTGCTCCATGTATTCGATGTCTGCCGGCGACACCTGCCGCCCGACAAGCCCCGCCAGAAGCCCGCCCCCACCCGCGCCCGGCCGCCGCTCTGCGACCGCCGCACCGACGATCGGCGCCGACGCCCGCAGGCGCGCGGCCGCGGCCGCCGCGGCGCCCAGTCGGGCCTGCAGGCCGGGCCAGCTCTGTACGCAGCTGGGCGGCGTGTCGACCGCGAGACAGCTCTGCAGCTCAATGAGCTCGCGCTGGAGTGACCCCAGCTGCGTCAGGTCGCGGCGCATCGCACCGGTGGCCTGCAGGGTGCGTGGGGGGCGCCTGAGAAGGGCGAGCTCTACGATGCACTTGCCGACTCTGTGACAGCACGCAGTGCACACAGCCGATGGCAGGGGGCGACTCATAGGACCTGACATAGAATGGCATACGACAGCCAAGGGCGCGAGGACGATGTGGGAATCAGGGGCCGCGACATACCTCTGTTACGGTCATGCCGCCAGGCGGTGCTTGGGGCGCCGCGGCTGGCGTCGCAGTGTCAGATTTGGCGGCCGCGCCGCCTGGTCGCAGGATCGGCGCCGCAGGCAGCAGAACAAGGGCCCCAAGGATGCCCCGTCGGCCCAGGATCACCCGCGCATCTGTTGACTGCGCCTGCGCGTATGCATGCTCAGGCGAATTGGGGTAGCGCGGTGCAACCGAGGTGGCCGTGGATGCATGCAGGTGACTGGACCCCGCTTGACGGAAAGCGCCGCGAAAGAGCTGCATGACTGCTGGGGCGCGATTTGATTCACACTCTGATCCTGAATTGCGGATGATCAAGGGATCACGAGCGCCAAAGTATCGATTCAGACTGTCATATCGAGATCTAACAGCCTGATCTGACGAAGGCCGCAAATGGCATCGTATATCAACAAGGTTTTGCAGCATCCAAACCCAAAAGCCTTTCATGCAGCGGCGCCGCGCCTCCCTACTGCCCGTCGCCGCAACATCACCGCCCCGGCACCCGATCCTTTGAGCACTGCACCGCCGTTGCTTGTGGCGCCCCGCGCCGCATCTGGCGCTGGCGCCGACGCAGCTGCGCCCCGCGAATGGGGCGCGCTGACAGAGCGGCTGGTCGCCGCCTCGAGCCTGCCGTTCACGGTGCTGGTGCTGCCCCAAGTCATCCAGAACCAAGCCAACATCGCTGGTGGCGCGCTCGGCGCACTGGCCGCCATCTCCTGGCTCGGCTATGCGGCCGGCCTGGCCGGGAACGCCCTCATGTGCACGCACCTGGCCGCGCGCGGCGAGGCGACCGCGGTCAACGTCCAGCTGATAGGCATCGCGTCGACGCTGCTGATCCTGGGGCAGCTGTGGTGGGCGCGCGTCATGCCGACGCGCGCGTTCGGGGGCGCCCTCGTGATGGCAGCGGCCGTCGCGGCGGCCGGGTCGCTCAAGGCGCGCGGGAGGCTGGGGCGGAGGGAGTGGCTGGCGTTTGAGGCGGTGGTGTCGGTGTTTGGCGTGCTGGCAGTGCCGCAGGTGGGTGGGGCATGTGGTCTGGTGAGGGATCGCTGCTGCCCAAATCTTTTTGGATGCTTGGGTGCAGCATGATTTGCAGCTGAGGTGGTGTACAGGCCCAAGGGGAGTGTTTTCGTGCGCATAGGTCAGGCTCTTTCTCAGGGCCGATGCGCGCTGCCGAGGCACGACGCTGAGATAGCGTCGGCCGCAGCCGCGGCCTGCACTGGACATCACCCGCACGAACTCAGTTCACTGATAGCCTGCAAACCTCGACCGCGCTCCGCCAGGTGGTGGCGGGAGCCTTCTGGCCCTCCACCCCCACCCTGGCGCCCTCTCTGGCCGCGGCCGCTGCAGTGGCGTTTTGGCTGTCGGGCCACGCCAAGCGCTCCGCCCAGGACGCCCAGAAGGCGGTCGCGCTGCTGCCAGGGTGGTGCGCCACCTGCATGTTTGCGCTCATGCCGCTGCCGCAGCTGGTGAGGACGACGTGCTCATGTTCCATGATGTTGCTTGGTTGGGTTGGTTGCGGATTAGATGACCTGACATTATAAGCCAATCAGGATAGCTGTGGATGGAATAGACTACAATGTCAGGGGATCACTGATTGCAAAACCGGACACCGCCGTGGGGCCTCGTGTCGCCTGCCCCAGCGGAGAGCGCCCCTGAACGCGCCCTGGCACGCACACCTTTCCTCACCCTGACTGCCTTCCCGTGGTGATCTCCCTGCCTTCAAAACCCCCGCCTGCCCCCAACCTCCACCTCTGCACCCTTACCCCAAAAAGGCCCGCAACTTCTCTGACCTGTCTGGTCTCGGCGGCCTCTCCCTGGGCACCATCCTGCTGGCCACCCTGGGGAACGCGCTGTGCATCCCGCGGGCGCTCTTCACGCGGGACCCCTCCTGGAGCTTCGGGTCGACCTGGGGCTGCCTCATGATGGGGTGGGCGCAGCTGCTCAGCCTCTTCCTCGGGCGCAGCCCGGAGACAGGGTGCGTCGGGCGGGCGAGTGGTGCAGGGCGCAAGTCGCGCGCATGCCTGCATGCGCGTGCGTGCATGGGTCCGGGTGTTTTTCCAGAATGTAGTGAAGAGGGATCAGCTGGCGGCGTAGTGTCCTTTGGGGTAAAGTCGACAACGCAGGGATATAGTTGATCGCTGCGACCGCATGATAACACACTGCATTTCATACATTGTCAACCGCAATCCGCACTGTGTCCCTGTATGCAGGGCCCGCTTCCTCCCGGCGCCCGCGTTTGCTGCGGCCACTGCTGCCCTTGGCGCCTACCTGCTGTGGGCGCTGACCTCTGACGCGCGCTCCAAGGGGCTGACCAACCCCTTCGGCTCCTACGGAGACGTGTTCTTTGGGCAGCGCGTGCCGCAGCCGCCGCAGCGAGAGCGTGACTACTGAGCTCGTGGCCGTTGTGTGTCTGTTTTTATGGGTTTGTTTAATTTTCCGTGTTGGCCATTGCTGGTGATTTGCCACACGCTGGTCATGATTGTGACGCTTTTGCTGCAGCAACAGCCATCAGCTGCATCAAAAACAGCAAGAAAGGCTCCGCATTCCAATCATATACACCGGCCATTACTCTGATAAGCATAATCCACAGCATCGCAGAGGCAAAGCGGCCACCGCATATGTAAGCAAGGCATGCGCCTAGGTGCTGCATGCAGGGAACATGGCGGGCTGCTAGCAGCAAAACAAGGGCGTATCACGCGTCATAAGCCGTGCATGAGTTGTGCAGGGGAAGCGGCCTAAAGCAGGTGGTGCACGCGCCCGCGCCCACTCAGCTTTCCCCCTGCCACACAGGGCCACGCCATAGCAGGGAGACGCCCGCGCTAGGGCTTCGTCGCAATGCCGCAGCCTCCCCCGCTGCTGCCGCCGTCGGCCCCTCCGCGGCCCTCACCCCCCAGCTCGAGCGCCGCGTCCTTGAGCCGCTGCAGCTGCTCCCGCTGCTCCTCGTTCAGGGCGCCCTCCGCGTCGTGCAGCGGCCGCACCGACCCGTGCGCCTCGTCAGCGTCCGCGCGGCCGGACAGCATCGACACGTACGCGGCCCACTGGCCCTGGAACTCGCGCCACTGCTGCGGCGTCGTCTTGCCCTTGAGGTGGCGCCGGACCTCCCCTTTCACGTACGAGTCGCCCAGGGACCGCAGCGGCCCCGGCAGCTTGGTGCGGTGCACGCGCAGCACCTGGCGGTACAGCTGGTAGAGCTGCGCCAGGCCCTGCTGCGCGGGTGGCGGCGCGGCCATGGTCGCAGCGGGGCGCTGCTCTCGCTGCTGTGCTGACACGTGACGAGGGCAACAGATGGCGGTGGCCGTGCGCCACTGATGCAGGCAGCGGGGCAAACTAGGGCCTGCGGGCGGTTGGCGGGGGAAAGGTTGAAGATGCGAGCGCTACGACATGCACATGCTGCGCTTGAGGATGGGCCCCATGGGCTGCGCCCTGCATCGCCGCGAGCTTCGCAACACAGCGCACGAGGCCTTGAGCGGCGGCAGCAGCCAGGTGGGAAGGAGCAGCAGCTCAGCATCACCCACGACGGGCACACCTGCTAGTCTAATACGGATTTATGTCAGTCGCTCGAACTTAGGCGGCCTTGCCCGTCAGGACGCCCATCTGATCCTTCTCCAGGTCGACCATCTGCTGCTCCCTGTCCATCTCGATCACCAGAGGAAGCACAAGAACGAGCACGGTCGTTGAAGCGTACCATAAGGCCTTGCCAAAGGAGAGGCCCAGGCGCTTGGCGCTGTACGCGGCGATCTCGGCAGTGGAGGCCATAGTGTCCAGAATCAAGGAACGTCTTGAATGGTTACATGCGCATCAGCGCGACTGGTGCGACATACAAAGCAGCAGAGTGTCACCAGGTGATCTGGTGCTTGCACTGGTGGTAAACGGCGCAGCATAAAGTACCGTGTGGCACAGGGGCATGCTTGATCAGTCTCTCTTTTGGGCTTGAGACCAACGCGCAACTGCATAGGCGGGAACTGAGGCACAAGGAGCGCCTGCCCACAGCATAGCTGGATGACTGTCACTGATGAATTGATTGTTGGCTGAGCCTAGCGCCGCCTTGAATTGACCTGGTACAACTTACCCCTTTGCCAGGCAAAGGATCCAGAATTCAAAATGCCACGTACTTATCCTGCCACCACAGCCAAGCTGCCAGGCCCTGTCAGCATGCAGGTGGCATGTGACATTACCTGCCACGGCCCTATCAACAGACCCCCCTCGGTAACCCGCGGGATGCGCCGGGTTGTGCCGAGTTGCGCGCACGGGGCATGCGCGCGGTTTTGCACCATCTAATTACTTTTTCATGTAGTATCAGGCGGGCAACCTTTCTTGCTGCATGGCTCAGCAGCACCAACTCAAGTCCTTCTGTCAGCAACCGTTGGACCTGTCCACCGAAATCGCCCGGGCTACGCCTAGTGCAACTCTCATCCAAGTGCACGCTGCAGCTGGATTGGCGGCCTCACACGCCAGCCAATCGCACATGCGCGCCTACACACACGCGCGCGCATGCGCGCGCACGAGCCCGTACACAAAGCTGCTTGCGCACAATCGCAATTCTGACCATGCCGTCACGAGAAAAGCGAGAAGAGCGTCATGTGCGGACTGGTGTGCCTGGATGTGCGCCTTACTATTGAAATCCGCGCACAGCAGCGGACATGCTTGACACACAGCCAAAGACTTGCACATGGTCGATGGTTGATGCAAGCTGGTGTTATCAATGGACATTTGCCAAACTCTTACCTTCAGGCTGGCTCAGCTCTTTGCACCTGTCACCGACCCCATGCCGCTCAAATTTGTTGTGTACACTACGCATCAGCGCTGGTGCCCACGTGGCTGGCCGTCGTCTGCCAAAGGCCTGGCTCCACATAAGAGTAGTGCGATCCTGCATGGGGTTCGCGGCGGCGTAGCACTGACTAGGCAGCGCTGCCTAGTGGGGGCTAGCCCCGAATGCTCACTGCAAGGACGAGGGTTATCCGTAGTCCGTCCTTACGCGAACTTAGGTGTCCCTACCACGTCCCTGCTGTAAGGACCGGTAGGGAAAACCGCTGCCAGTGTTGTGATGGATCATCCGCCTGATGAGGCGCAAGGTGCTCGAGACAGCGATGCACCGCAAAGTAAATAAGAAGGCAGGGGCCTGATGACGGAACGTGCCACCTCTAACCTGAAGCTTCCAGGAGCAGAAGGCACCTACTTGTCTGAGGCTGTTGAGGCAGCCAAGCCACGGCAGGCAGGCTGGATCTGTCTGGTAGGACTGCTGGGCGCATCACATGCAATACATATATGCTGCCGCTGCTGCTCCGCTGCCCCCGTGCTGCTTCCCCTGTGCCGCAGCGGCTGCCGCCGCCGTCGAGCCAGCCCAATCACTAGCAGCGGCGCCGCTGCGCGCGCGCGCGCGCACACACATGTGGTCAATGAGGTGGTCAACCTGGCTGCGCGCCCCTGAGATGTGATCAAGACCTCCCTCAGCCGACTGGTGTCGGCCCGGTCCCACCTCGCGGTCGCATCAGCGCTGTGAGACCGGCCTTCCACCAGGCCTTCGTAACAGCAAGCGACCTTCGCGAAGGCCACCCCTCCGTTTTCCCGTCCAAATGCCTTCAAATAGCCCACGCACATCTTCGATCAATCATTCACATACTCCCTTTCATGTCTACACACAACACGTCCCTCACATCGCACCTGCGGCGCCAACACCCCGAGCTCGAGACTACGACGACGACGCACCGCCGCACTGGCCGCGCGCTCCTGGCTCGGGCCCTGCCCGTGTCCAGGGACGCGCGTCGGGGGCTCTACCAGGCGGGCGAGGCGTGGTGGGCGGGGAGTGTCGGCCGCCACCGGGCCGGCGGCCTGCCTCCCCCTGCTGCAGCAGCAGCAGGTCAACGCTCACGCTCTGGGGGCGATGGTCACTCCAATAGGGAGTGGGCTGACCCCCTGGGGACGCGCCTGCTCGGGGTTTCTAGGTTTTTCCACTCCTTGAGGTGTTCAAAGCACCCAGAAGGTTTCAAGTGCATGAAGGGATGTGGCCTCAAACATCTGCACCTGTTGTCCCCCCCTGTAATTTTGAAATGGCTGTAAGGGTACAGGATGTGCTGTAACACTGCCTGTCAGTATCCGTCAGCAAATGGACGCCACCAGCTGCGGAGGCGCACACTCCGTGCAAGGTATCCATGGGGGGGTGCATCAGTGCTCTTCGGCGGCAGTTGCGGACCGAGTTGTTATCAATCCCCGCCCCTCCAACCCCCTGCCGCCCTCAGTGACATTCAAACTCTGCCGCCGACCGAAACAAAGCTGCGGAAACTCATATTACAGTATATTGCATCTCAGCACCAACAAGAGTGCAACAGAGTACAGCACTTTATGGAAATAAGGGTTGGGGGCAAAGAGTGGTGGCAGGCCTAAGTGCGTTGACCACAAGGACATCAGCGTCGATCACTTGCTCATCGCACGAGTCATTATAGGTTTGCGGAAGGGGGCAACACCCTGGGGGTTGACAAAAGCGCGTGCACTTCAACCTGGGTGTTTGCGTGTAGGGGTTGAGCACTCCGTGCAGTGACGCACTGCTTTTGTCGTACGAAACCCAGGGATGTTTGGTACGATATGATACGATACGGTATGATTTGATAAAATACGGTATTATACGTTGGGCAGGGTGGGGGCCTATAAGATACGGTGAAAAATACGGTTGGCATCTGGTGGGGTTGCACGCACGCAGGCACCCCGCGCATGCGCGCCGCGCACGCAGGTGTCACGCGCACACATACCGCTGGCGTGTGTGGTGAAAATTGCTTCGCCTTGTGGCACAATCTGGCCAACTGTGCCCCAACGCGCGTGCCCGTGCCTGGCAACACGTGGCTGCACTGCAGCTTTTCAGGGGTTTCCTGCTCCACTTTGACAAATTTCTCACTATGATCTGACATCTCGACGTTATCTACATGTCTTTTGGTTCTAGTTATTATATAAAGACCGAAACCAGCCGAAACAGCCTCCATCGACCGGGGTTGGAAGCTGTAACCCGGGTTACACGCCAAGGGGCAATAATACGGTAAAAATACCGTATAATACCGTATTTTATCGTATAATACCGTACGTTTCACCGCTGAGTCACCGTATTGAACATCCCTGACGAAACCTGTGCCAAGCAGTGCGTCAACACTTGAAACAAGCAATTTGCTGGTCATCACTGTACGCCTGCGGTCTAGAAGCAGCCGGGGCCGCCCAGTTGCAACAAGCGACGACGCTTGTGCTACTGACCCATGCCACCCTTTGCAGCCACAGCTGCTGTTTAACGTGGCGGCCTTGCCAAGCCAAGCGTGACAGGATGCTCTCGCACGACCTGGTCACCCCAGCTGTGGCCCAGCGCAGGCGGTTCCCCGCTGCTGCGGCTGCTCAGCGATGCTGCCCGCCTCCTACTGTGGGTGCTCCCCTGCTTACAGAGCTGCAGCTGTGTCATACGCGAGCCTAGCCGTGGCATTAAGCTCCTTCGCCCACTCGGTCGCTGGCTTTCCCCATCCCCTCCAGCACATGGCTTTCGCGCACCCCAGCAAGCTGAATGGGGGCCGGCATCTGTGTTGCCAATGCGTCCCGCATGGTATCGTCACCGCTTAATGGCGGTACTCTCGCCAGGCCGTGGCCCGGGTAGCCCCACCGTCAGGCCGCGGGGCACACGGCGGCCGCACTCTGGTTGGTCCTCAATGGGCAGGCGGCCGAGGGAGGGGTCGGCTACAGGTGCTGCGTGCGCCAGCCGGCGGTCGTGCAGTCATCAGCTCTCCTGGCCGTCTGCAAGTATTGCGTATCCCAAGCGTCAGGAGAGCAAAAGGGTTGCCGCCCCCCCCTGTGGGGAGGACATTCCCAGGTACCAACCCATGGCCGCCGTGGTTGGTCACCAAGCGGTCTAGTTGACAAGGCATGGCCACCGCACTAGACGACGCACAGTGCGCATGGCGCAGCGCAAGCTGATGGTCCCTGATGAAAGCGTCCACACACAGGGCCGGTTGATCCAAGAGCACCGCACTGTATAAGAAAAGTGCCCACAGAGAGGTGCTGGTGTTGGGGCCAACATGCGATACGGTACGATACCCCTGTGATGACTGTGCTGCTAGCAGAAGCATGCAAGCAGGTGTAGGGGGGCAAGGGCACCCTTGCAGACCCGCAGGATGCTTTGGCCGTGGGTTGCATTCGGGTCTGCTTCGTTGAACAAAAGTGAACAAAAGTGATTGCGGCAGGCGCTGTCCGTGTGCCATTGATCTCGCGGCCAACCTCCATCCAGCCCCGGGGCGCAGCCGAGCCGTCAGTCGCGATGGGCGACAACAAGCAGCCGGTGAGGAAAATCACGTCTTTGCCAACTGCGACTGCTGCAGTGGTGCCGCAGCCACGGGGCACCTGCACAAGCGCACGCGCTGCAAGCAGCACAGCAGCGACACTGTGTGCTCGCCCGGCCAGCCTGCGCCCTGTGCACATCCTGGATCCCCGCGTAAACAATAGAGTTATGTCTCTGCAGCTGCACTTCCTGCTAGGGACCGCGATTGCGCCTCAGTTACAGCAGCAGCTGCACCACTGCGTGCGCCGCAGATCTATGTCGGCAACTTTGAGTACGACGCGTCTGAGCGCGACGTGCTGCGCCTTCTGGAGAAGTATGGCCCGGTGGACCGCATCGACATGAAGACTGGTGAGCCCAGGACCCGCTCAACATGCGCCAGGCACCCAGGCCCAACGTGCTCTACAGCACCCGTTGCAGCCGGGCGCTTGGTGGGCCGCGGCGACGACAAAGACACCATGCGGTCCAGGCGTATCAAAAGACGACGTTACTGTAAGGTTCAACCGTCCCGTAGCACAGCAGACGGTCTTGCCAAGGGCCAAAGCTCGGCGGTTGACCCACAAAGGCAACATGGCATGGTGATTGCTCTCCCAACCCAGTTGCGTGTTACACCAGGGCTCCACTGTGCGCAACCCCTTGAGCCGTCGCCTGCCTCTACGCAAGCGCTACTCACCTTGCAACCCGAAACGCAACGATCTGACTTCACTAGTCCTCGCGGCAGCAAGGGCCGGCCGGCTGCCGAGGCCCATGTCCTGGTCTGCCCGGGCTGTTTCAGTCTTCGGGTCTGCCACTGCCATCGCGTCCCGCTGCCAACCTTTCCGGCAACCGGCTTCTGGGCTGCCATCAGCTTCGCTCCTGCCCGGACCACTGCCATCACACGGCCAGCACCGCTGCCATCATCCTGCCTTTGCCATCAAACATCACATCCCACCAACCCTACCCAAACGTCTGCCTGCCGGCTGCCGTGCCGCTTGAAGGTCGGCTGCCTGGCCAAGAGCCAAGGATAAGAGAGCAGGCCCGTTCGCGTCTGGCAGCAGGGGCGCGCCATGCGCGTTGTGCGGCGTCTTTGCTGTGCATGAGTTCCTGTTTCATGCTGACTTGCATGCCATGCACCCCCTCCCCATGTTTCGCACCGCAGGCTTCGCGTTCTGCTACATGCGCAACAAGCGCGACGCCGACGAAGCCATTCAGGACCTGGACAGGTGTGGGTGGCTCGACACTGCCTTGCCAGGCGCTCAAGGCTTGCTCTGCGCTGCCGGGCTGGGCATGCGACATGGCTGGAGCCCTCAGTGCGTGTCGCGACTCATGCTCTGGCGCGGCCTGTTATGATTGTGGATGTAGCACGCCAAAACTGGGTCGTTTCGCGGAATACCACCTTGCAGGCGCGAGTGGGGTTACAGGCGCCCGCGGCCGCTGAAGGTGCAGTGGGCCAAGGTGAGCGCGGTGGCCTGGGGCCCTTGCCTTTCGTCCTATCGGGAGGTTGCCACCCCCTCCCCCTTGGCCGACGATGTGCATTTCTATGCTTGTTTCCGCCGCTGCTCGCTGCTCCTGACACAGCTTCGCCACAGATCCGTGCCTTTGCAATAGATAGCGCCCCCAAAATGATTATGTGCACCCACCTCTCTGTCCTTGCAGAAAGTGGAGGAGGCCAAGGAGCACCAGACCCCCAGCAAGACTCTGTTTGTGGTCAACTTTGACGTGATGCGCACCACAAGTGAGTGGCCGAGCGTGGCAGACGGTGAAGGGCGGGGCTTGTGAGGAAGCCGTGGCAGGCGGGCGGCGGCTGCCAGTCAGGTGCCTCTAGCACGGTTGGGGCATGTTTCTGCAGCCCAGCAACGACGCGGCCGCGTGAGACACAGGGTCGGTCGGTATGTCGCCCACGGCACGCGGGGGCCGCATGTCGCAGCTGCGCGCTGGCGCAGCCGCGCGCCGGCGTCGGGCTCGCAAGCTGACCCGAGACCCAGTGACCCGCCTCCGCCAGCTCTGGCCAGCTCAACCCCTCTACCCTGGATCCCTCAACCCCGCCCCCTTCCTGCGCCAGTCCGCGATGTGGAGGACCACTTCTACAAGTACGGCCGGCTGCGCCGCGTCGACATCAAGAGGAACTACGCCTTTGTGGAGTTTGAGACGTGAGGCCCCGGGCGCCGAGGCGGGTGCTTTTGAGGGCACCGCCTCACCCGGGCGTGATTGGGCGCTCGGTCGGCTTCGCTGACCGCCGAGTCACGGTGCATGTGTACACACAAGCAGGCCCTTGCAGCGCACAGGCCTTGCGGCCGAGTGGTGCAAGCT